AAATTAGGCAATTAGTATTAGAATTTTGCAAGTCAAGTCTAAAAGAACAGCAAGAATGACTAGCTGTTTAGAGTCAGAGCATTGGGCTGGAGATTCGGAAACTTCCGCCTGAGGTTACAGTGGTTTCTGGAATCTGGGGCAATTTCAAACCTGCAGGGGCTTCCAGTGGCCACGCTATGAAGACCTTTCAATTTCAGAGAATGAAATTTGACTATGAGAATGCATAAGAATGTCTTGAGGAATAATAGCTTCAACCAGGATATGAATGGTAGCTCGTGTGAAAGGCAAGTAGCAAGGCATCAATTAATGAGTGAGTAAGAAAGGATGTTGTGCATGGAGACAGCTAACTGATGGACCTTTGCACCAAAAGAGAGAAAGAGGGAGAGAGAGAGACAGACAGACAGAGGTAGTAAGGTCCAGAGAAACTTTTCTTTTGTATCTCTAGGTGATGGAAATAAAAACATCTGTAAGCAGATAAAAGGAGCCAATGGAAAGAGGAACCATTCATAAACTTATAGGATCAAAAAGCAGGAGAGAAGGCTGTCCGGCACACAAAGAGTGGATGTGCCAACAGCACATTTGAAGTTGCAGCCTCTCAGAAGGGGCCCAGGGCAGTGAGAGCACTGGTCTAAGAGTCCAAAGGCCCGCATGTCAGTCCTGAGTCTGCCCCCAGTCCACCATCCAAACCTGGACCAGTGCTGCTTCTCTCTGAGCCCCGTTTACTCAGGAATGAGGGAGGTGGCCTGGATCCTTCAAGCTCATAACTGATCAGGAACAGGCGGGACACAGAGATGTGGAGAAGGACAAAGGGAAGGGAAGCTCTGAGCAGCCTCAGCATTCTCAGGAAACCAGGAAGCAGCATAACCTGATGATGGTGATGGGGGAGGGCATTGCACAGGGTACAGGAAGAGAATGAGAATCGGCTGCGGGGCTGCCAGGGGCCAGCAAGGCCGGGAGAGGCTGCTCAGCACAGCGGCTGAAACGTTGGCCATCAGGCCAGCTCTGAATTCTGGCTCAGCCACTTCTAGGTTATGAGAGCTCAGACCAACTGCTTAGTCCCTCTAAACCGACTTTCCCTTGGTGAAATGAGGCTACTTGTTCCCTTATGATTAGTATAAGGAAGTAAGGAATTAATGAAGGAATTCAATAAGATAACATACCATACGTGGTGTAGTACCCATTATATTGCCAAGCCTTTGTGTTCAAACAAGCTCAATACAGTTGAAATAAATACGAGGATGCAGCTGAAGGTGCATGAGAGAAACTCACAGTGACCTCCAACCACGAGAGTTTCATAACTTTGCCTTGTACTGTCCTCTTGAAGTGAGAGTACTTAGAGCAGTTAGTGAATAGGATTCATTGAAAGGTGGAAGCAGAGGAGGCAGTTAGGGCTTTTGGAGGGCAGATGGACGTGTGACCAAAGGACTGATCAACAGGCAGAGAAGGAAAAGGGAAGGACCATTTGACCGGGAAACCAAGGAGGAAGTTCACAATTCAAGGGGCCAAAGGCCTCAGGAGGGGTGAGTCTCCAGTTTAAAAGACCACAGGAAGCCTGAACTTTGGAAGATGTGGTCGAAAAAGAAACACAAAGGGTAAAGAATCAGAAGGGGTTGTAGGGAGAAGTCAAAAAAAAAAAAAAAAAAAGACTAGACAAAGGAAAATGCAAAGAAAATTTCTGGAATGATAGATGATTTAAAAAAAAACTCTTTTTCTGGCCAGTAGATTTTCTTGTATGATGTTTCATACTTTTAAAATATTCTCATTAATACTTTAAAAATATTCTACAACCTATAATGTATTATTAGTTAAATCAAAATACTGAATCAAGATGAAGTAGTAAAAAAACACAAACAGAGGCATTAGAGAGGAAGTGGCTTGGCCCCAGGAGTCTACCTTTTGAAGAGGAGGGAAAGCAAGTTCTGCGGAGACACAGAGGCCCTTACCCGGTACTGGGCGTGTTTGCCTTCTTCATGAATTTGAAGAGGCGCTCACAAGTATTTTTAGTGCTGGTGATAGGATAACCATATAACCAAGCCTGGTGCAAACCACCTCTAGGTTCATTAGCAAATGCCTTAATTATCATAACTTACAGAGCACTTACTCAAGCGCCAGCCACCACTCAACACTATTTTATTTAATCCCCACCATAAGACCCTAGGAGAAAGGGACTGTGATTTTGCACATTTTACAGATGAACCGAAGCACAGAGATACAGCGTCACTTGCCTGAAGTCACTGAGCCAGGCACTGGCAGAGCCAAGATTGACGTCCCAGCACATGCGTTTAACTGTCAGATTATAGAGAAACTGCAAAGTAGAGGCAAATTCTCTGCAAATAGTTTTATGTTCTTCATTCAAAAGAAAATGCATGAATCATAATTTTTTCTCTTAACAGCTCCCTTTGTGCAATTCCACAACCCATCTTTCTTTGCATAACTTCCGATACTCACTTGTGGTTTTAGAATCTTCTCTGGAAGAATGTATTTGGGGGTCCAAGGAGGACAAATTAAAATAAAATAGTAACTTCAAACTGTTGAACAAAGTTGTCCAAAATCTCAGTCTTTCAAGATAGCAAATTTTGACAAACTTAACAATAAAGTCCTAAAAATGTAATTGTGGCTCGGTAACACTATTAAATATGTATACTGTGGTCTTTTTGACAATTGCATTAATCCCTTTACAAAGCCTTCAGAAGTTCCGTCACAGAAGCATGGATGCTGTTTTGATCTATTTATTACTCTTAAGCGTTCAGAGAACTGTCCTTATTTTCTAATTAACACTTTTAAAGATAAAAAGCCATGTATTAAGTCAATCTGAATGATGGTTGTTTGTGAATCCCACAAGATAAGGCAATTTGCATGTTCACTTTGTACTTACAAACCAAATCTGCACATCTCCAAAGCAGCCCCTTATAATGTAAACCTTTTGTGAGTATTTGTAACTTGAAAGAAAGTTTGGCCTACTACAGAAGCAGTGCCAATTATCTAAAGGGCTTCGTTACCGAACATGATTAAGACACAAAGATGATGGGTGGTTATTTCATATTGTTTGCTATGGAATTTGAGGAAACAACATTTCAAACATCTAGGATTATGGATTATTCCCTTTTTATGGGGAATGAAAACAACTCATTTCCCTCAACGGTTAACCGCGTTCGAAAGTAGCCAGTTGCCACTCACTTGGGGTAAAATCCCTTTGATATGAATTAAATTGCTTGCTGATGAAATGCACCTTTCAGCGACCTGTTGGAGTTTCAGCTGATGCCGTAGCATACTTCGTGATGTGAATTCCAGCATCAGTGCTAAATCACAGTGGTGATTTACTAGCAGATTTTCAGTCCTGAAGAGTCAGCACTGGAAGATGTTTACCAAATTAGACTTTCACGAACAATAGCTGCTCTCATTAAACAGCGGCCTTTGTTGCCGGCACAGGCTATGGTTTCCACATGGTTATCGTGCGGTGTGTTCACACTCGGGGCTCTCATCAGATAGGGTTTCTTTGCTTTTGCAGGATCTGTCTTCATTGAGCTTTACGTGCTCAATCAACTTTGAAACCATGTGTAAAAGCCCCAGTCTTCACAATTCCAAAAAGGATCCTTTATCTTTTCTAAACAGTTCAACCTGTGCTTTCCCTTTGCCAAATAAGTCAGGAAACCAGAAAGATCGTGTTGGCTAGTGAAAATGATATCATATTTTTCTTTTTTTCCTAAGGAAAATAAAAACTAATGCCCTACATCGGTCGACCTCTCTTGAATGGCTCTGTGAGAAAATAAGATACGAAGAAAACTATTGGGGCACTGGGTTCTGAAATGGTGAGAATATAATGCTGACTTTTCCTAGGAAAAAGCAGGGGATGTTTTTCTTTATTCCACAAGTATTTATTGACTGTCCACCTGTATCAGGTGTTGCTATACTATTATAGGCACTGTAGATAAAATTGTAAACATAAAATCCTTGTCTTCATGGGGCTTACTTTCTACAAAAAAGACAAGCATTAAACAAATAACTCAATAAATATATAAAATGTCAGCTCAGAATTCCTATAGCTGCTAGATATGTCCATTAAAATTCAAATGCTTTAAACCTCAGCAAGAGTGAAGAAACCAAGGCTTGCTTATCTCAAGAGCAATCGGAACTTACTTTAACAAGAAGGAGCTTCTTTTATAATACACCCTTATATAGCAACTGCTCCTTAGGAGCCCAGGCACACAGATTTCATATTTTAGGTTCATTTATAAATTCTACCTAATCATCATAGCACTTTCCAGCACTTTATATTCTGAATCAATACTGGAAAGATCAGAGGGCACATCATTGCTGACTATTCCGGGCAAGTTTAGTTGTGATCCGGTCCATAGCAAAAGCAACTATACAGTCTCTTTTGAGGTCTCATCTATCACTATTGTTAGATGACTAACAAAATTATATCTTTTTCTTTACTATGTCATGATTATAATGAGACTAAATATGGACAAATAAAACATATTAGCAAGTCAAATCCTAAAGCAGTGGATCTCAGCCTTTGGCTTTTTTTTCCCCTGAAAAAACATGTGGCAAATGATATTCACACGTGGAACATCGTTTCATGGACGTTTAAGGATTGATACGGTTCCAGAGACATTAGTTAAATGTACACCTTCCCATTCACTCAAGAATGCAAACGGGACGATCAGTGAGGGAAAATGAAATTATTATAGGAATAGCTCTGAATCCTCCACTCTGATTTATTTTTCAGTAAGTCAGTTGAGAACAATTATTAACCACAAACTATTGGTGAATCGTCTCCCAAAGCATCACAACAAGTGTGCGTGCCACAATGGTGACTTTAGAGCTCCTGGCCCAGATAGACTAAATTCTTCGGAAGCTAGGTAATCGGATGTGACATGAATTTTTAGAAATTCATCATGTAGCTAAATACCAATAACCAAAGCCAACCAGTGCCATAATTTAAGCACTTAATTTGCTTTATTACTGTCATTTTCTCCTACCTGGCTTCCTTTCTCTCTTCTGTATGAAGAGCTTGATGGTAGAGGGGGGCCAGGGAGCTGGTTAGCCCTCCCTAGAGCAGGTACTTCCCTTCCCTGGCAGGCTTCATGTCATTCAGACCACCAGTGACAAGGTGTTGATATGTGGAAGTAGTTACCTCAGGCTGGCTGTTCCTGCAGCCGGGCTGGGAGCAGTCACTTCAAGGGAAAGCTCTGAAGCCCCTGCCAGCCCCTCTGGTCCACAGATGTCTCAGGAGGCAGCCCCAGCCTTTCTCGGTTGCAGCGTGGGATTTGCAAATGGTCAGCGCACCGGCGTTGTAACTGACTTTAAGGTGGACTTCCACAAAAGGTAAGATACTTTTTGGCTTCAGAAAAGTGTTTTTTAATATTGGTTACACTCCAAAAAAAAAACTTTTAGAGAGGAATTCCTTCCTTTTCGATTCAAGTGGGAACATTTTGTTCTTTCTGTGAATGAATCCTTTGCTTACTTTGGGGTAAATGTGGTTGTACATGTCCTAAGTTTAACTATAAATCCTTCTGAAAATGCAAACTGAAAGCACACTTTCCTTCTCATTAAATTCCGTTTTACCAAAAGAAAGATCCAAGTGTAACTGTAACAGGATCTAAGCAGAGCTGTAAACCAGAAGTCCAGGACTGCCTTGTAAACAGTACAACACAATAGCACTGGGGAGGGTCTGTCTCTCCAGTCTGACTCAATAAGAAATTGCCATGTGATGGTGAATCTATATACATTAGGTTAGTTGCTTAAACCTGAATAGCGTGACTGCGTAGTCTTGTGGGAGTTTTTTTTTTTTAATTGTCATGAGACCAGAAACATGTTCTATAGAAAATGAAATCATTGGATACGATTTCTATAGATAATGTGACTGCTCTTCAATAGACAGCATTGTTGGAGTTTTATTTTTGCACATTTTACTGAAAAAATGAAAGCTTTCTAGAACTGGGTGCCCATGGATACTAAGAAAAGCCTCGGCTTAAAGGCCAAATTTTAAAATTTAACAAGGGGAAAGGAAGTATGAGAGAAGAAAAAAGGGAGAACGAAAAGAAAAGAAGAGAAAATAAGACATAAACTGGAGAGAAGCAAAAACCGAACAAGAAGAGAAGGCAGGATGGGAGGGAGAGAGAACGCAGGGAGGAGCAGGAGGAAATACAGACGTTAGGTGCATGGACAGCACAGTGCCTGAAACACACAACTTTCAGAGTGGATCAGCAACATGCTAGAGAGAGAGCTCAGGTGTTTGTGTAATTGTGATGCACTGGGAAAATGCACACTGTTAAGTGAGCCTCAAATTCTCACTTCTACCTGCGTGATAAAGAAACCCACTGTTAGTCTGCTGGGCTATCATCAAAAAGATGCCAAAACGAGGGCATGAAATGGAAGACTTGAGAGCCTTCCATCACGTATGCCTCTAGTATTGAATTAGAATTTGTACATTTATATCTTATATACTATTAATAGGGCATGTTGGTTGTAGGTTTGGATTGAATAATTTCTAGAGCATACCACTACTTTTTGAGAAAATTACTTTTAAAACATGATAAGGATTCAGTGTTAGTTTTTTCCCTAGAGAAATAGTTGAAAGGTTAAATATTCAGATCCAGTTCACCATCCTAGTGATTAGAAGTCAGCAAAATCCTGAGATAACGATGCAGAACTTTAAAGAGGGAACCCACTTGCATGAAGGCTGGGATACAGGTCTTGGAAAGAAAAGCCTAGGATCCTGCAAAAGACATAAAACTAAAGAAGATATCTGATACCCTTTTACCATGCAGATGTAAAACAACAAACCCTACAGCCGTGTTTCAGATTAACTATATTACAGGAGCCTTTGCATCATGAAATTACTACTTACAAAAGGACACGCTGTATCTGAATGTCTGCAAGAGAAAATCATCCTATTAATTATAAACTTACTCTGGACTGAAAATCTTTGGTTCCACTGTAACTGTTTTTGTTAATGGAGAAAGCATTAGAGAAAGTTTTCCCTCTCCATAATATTAGTTTATACTCACCACATGGTTAGAAATTAAGATTTCTAAGATCTTTGCCTAACACGTATACACGTTTCTATTGCTACAAGTATAAATTATTTCTTCTTTTGGATCTCCACTCATCAGTCTTGAAGTGGAGAAAATATAGAAAATGTATGTATTATGGGTTTGCTTGTCTGCACTCTATTATAAAGCAATCCTTGCCCACATTTAAAGATGTATTTAGAGCGAATTTAGATATAAACAGATTCATATGCACTCACATACATAAAGGAAGAAAGGAAAAAGGAGGAAATGTCATGAGATTTTCTTTCTAATTTTTTTCTACGAAGCACCACTTCTTACACGTATGGTGTTCAGAGCATTCTTTCTGAAATAGGTGTTTGTTCTCTCTTACCAGTGTAAGAGCGAATGATGCTGCGTTTAGAGTATTTGTGAATTTTTTCTTGGTGTTTGTTCCTGCTTAACCACCGAGTTACAGTAGTGACAATATGTTGGCTGCTCTCACTGTCCAAACACAGTGAAGTCCAAATGCTCAAACGAAGCATACCTTTGAGACCAAGGTGACTGCTGTTTTATGAGGGGGACCCTGTCCAGGCTTCAGGGGTGGAAAGGAGGATGAAGAGGAAGGGATCCTTTACTTTTTTCAGTCTGGTTTGTTTAATACATCTTTGCATGATTTATTCACTTCTCACTTTGAAATGCACGTGTGAATCCTCTGAGGGCTAAGTGGTGCCATTACTCTTTTGTGGTAAGTTACTGTTACGCATTTATACAAGTTTGGCCAAAAATTCCCCATTATGCCTTCTTCACTAAATAACAACAAACTGCGAGGGTTAGTTCTGCATCACTACTTCAATTTCCTCATGAAAAATTGGCCTTCTTTCTTTTTGGTTTGTGAGCGCCCAGGCCAATATCACTCAAGTCTTATACAACAAGGGGAAAGAAAGGCGACTTGAGCAGTCATCTGGCTTCACCTGTTAGTCTGGATACCATTCTGATCTGTAGAACTCAGACTACAGGCATCACTTCCTTGCGTCACTGTAAATGGCAGAATGAGGCAACTGAATATGTCCATCTCCTGGTTCTAGCTGCTTGCCAAATCTGCTCTGAGATTTAGCCAAACATCCTCACCAGCCTATAGAATGACATGCGGCCTTGCTAAGACAATCCTTACTCTCCCTCTGAGACTTAACTCTCTTTGACCTGTGCAGAAATCACAGCTGGCTAATGTACACAGCAAGTATTTCTCTTTGCATGTCAAAGACTGCTGTGTTCCCCGTTGCTTCTGTGAAGGGCATCAGTACACTAGCATCCCAAGGACTTCCCCGGGGAGGGTTACAAAAGCATGGCCACGGCCAGCGCCATGCCCTAATCCTGAATGGGAGTGTCATATATCTCGAACAGGTGCTGGGACCAAAGACCGAGACCAGCTATAACTCTATCGGCGTTTTGCATGAGATAATAAGAATTTTAGGCAGGTTTGATGGCAATGTTGAGATTCACTGAATTGACAAATGTCGAAGACGTGGGGAAAGTAACTGAGTGGTTTCCACGTTGATCTGTCATCAGTGGAGCTGTAGATCAGATGGCGACGTGATCATTTTTAGCGCAGCCCTTGTCGTCCTCCGCTCAGACGCACCAAATGAAGCGCCCATTTGCTGACGAGAAATTCACAGTTGAGGTCGACTGATGATGCAGTGCAAAGAAGCCTGTTCTGTTCCTCTGCTCACGGATAAGCCATGCCAACCCTCACCTTTAAATAGCTCAGTATTTAATTATGCGATATTTAGAAATAAATTTCAGTCGCAGCTCACTAATAACTTGTTCACCCCTAAGAGAGAGGAAAAAAAGATTTAGCAATCAGTAACTCTCAAAAAAAAAAAAGGACAACTCAGTACCAGGTTGCAATGTAACGTACAGCCTAAATGAAGGGAAAATCATCGTAAATTAAAATCATTATAACATAAATACACTAAACATTTTTAAAAGGTGATACTACTTTTCTGTTTTAGCATAAAACCTTAGGAAGTAATGGCTTAACTTAAGCAAACAGGGAAAAAAATTGAACCCTAAGAAGGTACAGTAGCTACTTTCTTGAAAACAAAACAATCTTTTCGTTCCTGCCATTTGTCTGAATTCTTCCTCCGGGCAAGCTGGACAGCTGCACTAGTGGTTTTTTAGTCATGGGTTGTAAGCCCCACCTGGCTAGATTTGTTTAGCAGACAGCTGGCAGAATTAAATAAAAAGAATGGGACACAAAATGCTTCCCCCCAAAAAGCTGAGAGAATACTTTTTGGATGTTTTAGCCTTTTGGAGGTTTGCAGCTTTCTGTTTTTTTTCTTGCAATATTCGTGTACATGAATATATCTCATAGATATTTTCCCTCAGTGATAACACCCTGGCTGAGGTCAAAATGCTGCATGAATGTAAACATCAAGTAAGCATATCTTTAACAACTTTTTTTTTTAATTTAAAAAGACCAATTTGCAGTTTATCAGTCCCCCAGAATAACATCAGTTTTAAATTAGCATTTTTAAAAATTTTCTACATTTTCTTTGTTATTTTTAAAAGCCAATAAAATATGTTTTCTTCATCTGGAATGTTCTTTCTAGCTTTCAGATAAGAAGGGGTCTAACTTGTGGGAATGGCATCCTTCTGCATCTGTTTCTCTCACAAACCTATCAAATATCTAATTTTTGGCATGACTGCTGGCTCCGACAGGGGGATGACATAAACCAGCTTTGTGGTTACATGTTTCACTTTTAATCTCATGGAAATAAAAATCAGCACTGAAATGTCCCTCTACATGTGACAATTTGGGACTCTTTTCCAAAAGCCCAGGCAGAGGGGCGTTAACCTGGTTAAGCTTAACACACAGCATATGCAGAAGTATCATGCATCTTTATGCTAAAAGGCATCGGGCAACCCTGCCTCTCATGGAGCTTGGTTCCCATCAGAAGCATGAACTACAAACAGCGGGAACCGAAAAGACTCAGTGGCAGCAAGTTACCAGAGAACTACCGAAAACGCGAACCAGAATCGGGAAATGAAGTAGCTCACTTGGATAACCACACATCTTTCTGTGTGTTTTGTCTCTTTCCATAAATGCGGCAGGACTAGTGGAATATTTCAACCATCATGGGTTTGCTACTTAGCACGGGGAGAATCCAGCTTTTCCCTAAACACAGTAAATATAGTATGGAAGGCTCAAAAAAACCAAAATGGTTTGGACATGATCCTGATTGGAGAAACTCCATGAAAATAGATTCCAACTGCTTATAAATGAGCAAGGGGGAGGGGGTGTATGCTGGTTTTAAAGACATCATCTCAGAG